AAGGAAGAAAGGACATATCGCCCAATTCTGAATGATCTTCCATCGTTGTCTGTCCGGCAAGAACACTGCATCCACCGATGTAAACATCACGTTGAATGTATATGCGTCGAAATTTGAGCGTATAGTCATCAACAAAGGCCGTTTGAATGTTCACATCTGATGATATGGTTGTTCCATCGCCAATCTCCAAAAGATCCGTAGCCGAACAGTTGATTTGACCGAGATGAAAATCTCACTTCAAGTGTGTGCACTTACGACCGAAGTGTCGGAGTGACACCCTAAGAGTGTGAGTCAGTTTTAGAGCGAACATGGTATTAATTTATATTTTGTGCTTTTCTGACTGTTTTTCTCTTCCCTTCTCTGCCGAAAATCGTGATCCGAACTTTGGACCTTGTTGTAAGAAGAATTAGATTTTGGTTAAAAACCAACAGTCGAATATACCTACTATCGGCACCAAAATTCAATGTACTCAATTGTTTTTCGAATAACTTCAGAACGATAGAAGATGGGGACCTGCGATTTTCAACAATCAAAAGAAGACAGTCTAACCTATGTTTTCATAAGCAAAACCCTTTTCCGAAACTATTCAGAAGGAGATCTTTGGAAGAGCACGTCGAATCTCAGGAAACTGAGATAGCTAACTAACAGTTTTTTCCCATAGATGGCTAGTCCAAAGTGTCCTCTTCAAAATGCGAACTAAGCGAACTCTTGAGTTTTCCCAGTTCAGGCGTGGCATCGGATTGGCTGAGAGTCCCAGGTACTTCTTTAGGTGTGGTAATTCCGAAAATAATGGAAACGTAGGTAATCAACCACGCTGACTGTTGTGGCAATAATTGTTTTTCAGAAAACCTCCAACAACCTAATGAAAACTTATATTAGGTGGAATAACTCATTTTTGCCTATTTTCGAGTATAATTAGAAAATTCATAATCCAGTCAAGATCAATCTAAATTATGTCAGAATATCAAGATGTACTCTATTTTACCTGCTCAATATTATGCAGTTCAATAGAAGCTTTGAAAATCAACACAAAATACCTTCTCTTATGAAACGGTTTTCTAGAAATCGTTCGAAGTACAAGAGTGTTTTTTACTATTCTCAAGTAAAAAATCGTCTTGAGCAGGTAAAATAGAGTACATCTTGATATTCTGACAAAATTTAGATAGATCTTGACTGGATTATGAATTTTCTAATTATACTCGAAAATAGGCAGAAATGGGTTATTCCACCTAATATAGGTATGAAGGGTGATTAAAATGAGACATCTGCCAGTTCTACACGACCTTTCTTTGCAAAGTTATGGAACTTACAAGAAAGGCTCTAAATGTCATTTGTCAGCTCAAAGCTACAGAAATAAGAAGAAATTAATTTAGGGCTTTTCTTGTAAATTCTATAACTTTGCGAAGAAACATCGTGTAGAGCTGGGAGACGTCTCATTTTAATCAGAACTTTGCGGACTATAATCATGCTTCATTAAAAGGGAGGTTTTGCTTATTCTTTAGCGTTTCTGAAAAACTGATTTTTCAGCAAACCGGGTCTTCAGAAGTCATGAGCACGCGCCTTTTAGGGTATTTACTACTTCACTCTCGAAAGGTTCCCTCGTAAGTGTGACTTCGAGAGACACTTCGAAGTGTGTGCAGCAAAATTGGAGGTTATTTCCCCCTTGACATAGGGTCAACAAGTCTTTCAATGTTTCATTGATATCGCCTAATATATTTACCATGACCAAATGAGAAAGGGTCAAACAGAATAGAATAAGACGTCGATCGTATTCTTTATTACTTTTTTCGATCGATAGTAAACAACTGCTCAAGTCAAAAAACGCAGATAGATGCGTACCACTATACGCTAATACTACGCTATAATCTTCATCTGCTTTAATGTTTCTACTCAGACTATCCGAAAGAATCAACATAATAGTGTACAGACTGTATTCTATACGGCAGTCAGTGTATAGCTGAGTGGATATTAGTATGTTCGTATACAATGAAGCAACCGACAACACCTTTAGGAAGTAATGTAAGTCAAAATTGGTCGGTAGTTAATCGGGAGAGCGAGGTAAAAGAAGAAAATGTTAAAGTCGAAAGCCATGAAAATCATCTGAAGAAGAAAACAAAAACGAAAAACTATAATCTCTGTTTCAGATACAAGTATGAAGACTGAGCTGTTGATTAAACAAACAAAAGACATCTAACCAGTTTAGCAACAATGTCTGTGATCCTTCTCAACAACGTCGCTTTTTGTCAAGCAGCATTGTCTCTAAATCTGCGGAGCAGTATGCGGGACGTTTTAACTTCCCACTAATAAAACTATGTCCACTTAGCAGTCCTTCAAAAATAAACAGTGAATCCGTTAATAGATTTATTAGTGAACTGAAAACAGACCATTGTCCGACATTCAAGATATCATTTTCGAGGATTAGCAGTGGAAATCTGTTATTGTTTTTAGCGAATCGTGATACATTCTCAGTTCTATTAAACGAACGTGTATATCCACGTCCTTTAGCAAATCAAACATTTGAAATTATTTATCCCCTATACCATCACAGCTTTCTCTTCTGGTTCTTGATGTTACATCCAGTGTTAGTGATGAAGAACTGCAAAAAGAAATTCGAAGTATTTATCCTTCGGACATTGCGGTGGTCCGTCAACCAACTTCAAAATCAATGACTAGTGTAAATGCTAGAATCGACTTTCGTGAATCTAAAGAGATGACCATTGTGAAGCCCGAGGTGAGATCTGCTAGGTCATTCGATTTTTAATGTTAAAGAGTGTTTTAGCACACCTAAAGTACTTTTCTGCCAAAAATGTCACGGCTTCGGCCACTATCGTAATGAATGTAAACAGCAGTTTGACGTTTGCAAAGTCTGCTCAGAACCCCTTTCATCGACAAAAAACCATAGATGTTCTGGTGAACAAACTTGCAGTAATTACTCGGAAGACCGTATGTATTACGACAGCCAATGTCCTGTATTGAAAGAATATCGAAGAGTACTAATGCGGCATTTGATCGACAAAAACCTTTTGCCTACACAATGCCATGTACCGCGAATCGTTCGTTCACGGATAAATCAAATTTTGACACAAAACCAGTCAAAATCCGTCGAAAAAATCCTTCATCCAAAATATCATAGCTGGATGGTTATCGTTTAGGAACTGGCTCGGCTGGTGTGTGTGTGGCTGGCTAGTGTGACGGACGTACATACATATGATCACTAATGAGTGTGACAGACATAGATCCACATAGGTTGATGCGGTCGAGTTTCCTGTGCAAACTGAGAAGTGGTCCTGCCTGCGAGCGTGGACAGAAGGGGCGCGTGAGCATTGTCTGGAATTCAGAAATATTTCTAGACCTCTCGGGTTGTTTGAGGGCTCTCGAGAAAACTTGTAAAGATTGAAACTACTTAACGAAGCTGACACATCATATCAGAGAAACATTCATAACGCATGGTAGATAGTCCCTAGCGACCGAAGGGAGTTGTAAGCATTGTTTCCACGACCAGGCCAAACTTTGCCCCCACTTAGGGTTCGTTATCAAGGGTAAGAAGACTGATAGATTTGGTAATATTACGTATATTTCGAACGTCTGTATGACAAAACTAAATCAAATTACAGATCTCGATGAACTCAGAAATTCTTCGATAAACTTCTCTGACCTATGAAAAGCTACAGCACTGCTTCAGTAAACTAAGATGGAAAATATGGACGTTCTCATCGCGAAAAATATCCATCACTTCTGTAGTAACAAGATCAAGTTACAACAGGATGAATAGTAATCCCGACAGTACATGCATTCGACTTACAGGCAATAGACTTAGTGAATCGATGCGATTCACGTTATATATTACATCAAATTTTGAAGTGCTCATTCAGAGGTAAATGTTCGCATTCGTTTTTGATAATAAAGACGAGTTATTTTCAAGCAATTTAGACAGCAAATGTTTTTGAGTACGCGATTTGTTTTAAAACATACAGTACCATCCGTCTATGTCAATTCGTCAAAGTAAGTCACTTTTACACTGTCGCCTACGCCTTACAAAATGGCAAAAACCATTTGGTCAGAATCAGACTATAAATCTTGATCACTGAAGTGTCGCGCTACTTGCCCAAGTCCTAAATATCAAAATACACATAAAAATTTCCAATAACGAAGTGATCCGCTTTTGTACTCTAACACAGTTCTACCAATCGTACACTTCGCAACTCGAGGAAGGTCCATCACCACCACCACCTGTTACTAATACTTTCCCGGATGATAATAAAGTTGCAGTGTGGTAACCATGTGCTGATGACATGCTGGCGACTGGAGTCCATCTATTCGATGGAGGATCATACATTTCGCAACTCGACAAACGACCATCACCACCTGTTACTAATACTTTCCCGGATGATAATAAAGTTGCAGTGTGGTAACCATGTGCTGATGACATGCTGGCGACTGGAGTCCATGTATTCGATGGAGGATCATACACTTCGCAACTCGACAAATGACCATCACCACCTGTTACTAATACTTTCCCGGATGATAATAACGTTGCAGTGTGGTAACCATGTGCTGATGACATGCTGGCGACTGGAGTCCATGTATTCGATGGACGATCATACACTTCGCAACTCGACAAAGAATTCGAATCAGTATAACCACCTGTTACTAATAGTTTCCCGGATGATAATAAAGTTGCAGTGTGCCAAAATCGTGGTGATGACATGCTGGCGACTGGAGTCCATCTATTCGATGGAGGATCATTCACTTCGCAACTCGACAAAGAATTCGAACTATGACCACCTGCTACTAATACTTTCCCGGATGATAATAAAGTTGCAGTGTGGTGACGACGTGCTGATGACATGCTGGCCACTGGAATCCATGTATTCAACGCTAACGATGATGTTTTCATGGAGATACGATTCGCTGGAAACAGAAGAAATAGCTGTGTGTTTATCTGTACTCGAACATGCCAGTGATAGAACCCATTTTTGAGCTCTATTTGAGCAAACCTATGCAAGGTGAAGTAACCCATTTCTGCTTATATTTGAGTACAATTAGAAACTTTGCAATTTAGCGAGAACCGATGCAGACTATGTCAGAATACCAAGACTTATCCTATTTTATGTGCATTATATCATGTGCTTGAAAGGAACTTCTGCATACCACCTGAGAATAGTCTAATTTTTGAGAAGGCTTTGTAAAAACCTTCATGAGACGATATTTTATTTGTGATAAGCACAGGGTCAGGTTGAAGAGACAAAACAGAGTGCGATATTCAAAGCACGAAGGATTAAGAAACCGCGTAGTTCTGATTTTGCAGAGAACGCTTTGAACTATCTATACATGACAAAAATCAATAATTTTCTGTTTTAAGTTTTGGATTTACGAACTAGTTTTCCAAAGACCTCATCGAAAACTGTTTTTAATTACGTTTGTACCTTTGGAGAGTTACGCTCCAGTGTCGACTTTCGAATAGTGAACGGTGAAAACTGCATCATATTCCATTTTTGAGTTATTCGAAAAACAGCTACCAATCTTTTAATTTGAACTGGATAGTGCATCACATCTAAAGCCGATCACCGTGGTACCTCTTTGCTTTCGTAATAAGGAGTGTGAACTACAGTTCTTGAGGACAAACCGATAATACGACACTTACGTGCTTCCACGACACAGCCTGCACTTGCAATAGTTTGTGCAATAGCTTGACTGGAACTAGTAAACGAAATGATTGTAGGTAACGAAGAATGGTGATGGTATTCTCTGCAATCATTCGTAGCCTTCTCCAGGTGCTCAATAACACTTTTTGTTTGTGACAGTGCAGCAAATGCATTCACTGACAAAGTATGTTCAGCTTCTCTGAGACCCCTGTTCAAACTTGATTTCACATTGTTCAGCTTCTCTTGACGAGAGTGCACATTGTCACGACAAATCTGCGCATAGAACAAAAGACAATAAAGAATAAGAGAGAGTGCTCTGCTCAGCGCACCTGCGACTTCCGCTTCAATTCTTCTCTCAGCCTCTTTTTTGTTGTGCTGAGAAGGTTCACAAGATGTCCAAATTCTTTTTCAATGCTTTCGCCACTTCTAGCTTCACTATCATTGATATCTAAATGAACAAGAGAGAGGCGACGTCACCAACAAGCTGCAAACATGCACTAACCTTGTATTATTTTCTCCAATGTTTCCGCTTCAACTTCGCAAGCAATGGCTACAGGTCGCAGTTTTTTAATTTGCTGTTTCAGTTCCGTTTTTACGTCATCTACTACATCGACAACAGACTTGACTGGATGCTCTTTATGAAGACCAAGAGATTGACAAGCAAGACAACAAAGAGTCTAGAAGAAGTACAGCAGTGGTTGCTCAGACGAAGGAGCGAGAATGATCTCTCACCCAAGTGGAACTGAAAGAGTAAAGAGCAAGATTTACATTACCTTGCACGTTACACAATACAAACACAATGGCATATGGTGATTTTGACAGTTCGATGGTTTCATATTGTTTTGCTTCTCACCAATTGGTACTCTTTCATGATTTTTGAGCGCTTTTGGCGCATGTACGACTAAGTTGTGTTCATTACAAAAATTGGAATCATCTTGTACACAATACCAGTCAGCTTTCTCATCGCATTCACTACAAACTTCAATCTGATGCTGTGGCTGACTCATTTACAGCGGAAAAATATCTACAAGTGAATGCTGATAGTAAGCTTGTATGTCTAAGTAGAAGTACACTCATAAGACGATTTGTAAACATTATCTTTTCGAATAGGCAAAACATTTAATGCTGCAAAATGTAACAGCAATAATTTTCAATTTATTAAAATACATAGAACGAGTAGGGCAAGATACACGGCGACATATATGTATGTATTTTAATAAAATGAAAATTATTGGTATTACATTCTTATGTTCAGCATGAAAATAGCTTTGTGACCTTTTGTCATACGACAGAATGCTTTTGTCTTCCGTTTTAATGTTGGGAGAGAGAGGTTTTTTCTGTGTTTGGAGCATGATAAGTAAATATTATCGATTAAATGAAGACTTCTCTTTGGCAAATATTGATAAGAAATTCATTTTCGAAGGATGACAGTATGCATGCAGTGTGAAAGTCAACATGGTATATAAGAAGATAGATAAAGAAGATACCTTGGTTGTTTTAATTTTTTCTTCCTTTCTGTCTTTAGCAACTGCGCAAGCAATATTATTATAGTAACTGTTATGGTAAAAAAGTAATTAGCATTATCTTCTCCTTTCTCTGTTTCAACCCATGTAAATATTTTTCGATCGTAGACGCGTCTGAAAACGCGTTTTATGCTGCGTTTAATCGCTCCGAAAATGCACCATTTGCTAGCGTTTAAACGCGTTTTTCCAGGACGCGCTTAAACGCGTTTTATCAGGGGAAGGCGCGCTTAAACGCGTTTTTACTAGACGCGTCTGAGTGCATCGAAAATGCACCATTTGCTAGCGTTTAAACGCGTTTTTTCTTTTTTTAAAAATATTTTTTGGGGGTATTTTTAATTACTAGCTAAGGTTTCATTGTCTACTGGCCAGCAGAGTGTGTGTCGATATGAGAAAAGCTTGACTTACTAGAAAGAA